ACTGATATTTCGGATAACTGATTTACGTACGAAAAAATAGTTTAACGTATCCGATTTCGAAATTTTTCTCCGTTGCGTGTCGCTTCGCGTTGAATTTTCGTCATGTTAAGCCTAACGAAGACTATTGTATCGTTAAAAATTATTTTTTTTATTTTGTACAAACAAAATAAATATATTGAAAAATATAAAAACAATAAAAAATTATACTTCAGATGTTAATTTAGTATCAAAAACGTAAAATATTTGAGTAGCCCAAGACAGCCAAAGATTGAAGCGCCACAGCACTGGCAAAAATTTAAATTTGCCGACAGGAATTCTTTCGGATGATTGACGTTTCGGATGATTGACTTTCGGATAATCGACGCTCCACTGTATTTATAAAAATTATTCGGAAAAATATTAGTTATTTTATTATAATGTAACTGACTTGTAAGAAAACTAATCTGTAATGATATTCTTTTTCTTCATTTAATTCTTCCATATATATATTCTTTTTCGCCCTGTGAACTAAGAGAGTCGTCTTCTACAAGCCCATCGTGGATTCGGCCAGGCTTGCAATGAGGCAGCCGAATGGGAGGAACGGGGCTCAGCTTATCCCAGATAGACCTGCAAAATTCCGGACAATCGAAAAAAACCTGGGTTTTTTCGACTGCCCAGAATCGATTTCAGGGTCTTCAGAGTGGTAGTGGTGCCTTAACCGTCTCGGCCATGCTGCCGACCAGCTCCGATTTCGTTGTGAAAGATCCGATTCCAATCCAATTTTTGTAATTTTTTAAAGTGATTCTGACCATAAGTTATTTACAATCACTAATCATAATGAATACTTCGATTAATAAGCAAGATTGTTAATATTAATTTAGAAAAAATTGACCATCATCATTTTGTTTAAATTACTTTCCTTTAATAACTTCCTTAAATTCATATTATAAACGTACATGTTCTATTAGTTAAGAACCAATTCAGTTTGAAGCATTTTCGATTTTATTAATTTTTACTTTTCTGGCCCTGTTATATATAAAACAGAGAGAGAGTATGGCAAGCGGTCAAAAAATTGACCCCCCCCCGAGATTTTTACATTTTTGGATTCAGTGTACCTTGAAACGCCGAGAAAAATAAATAAATAAATAAATAAATAAAATAAAAAATAAATAAAAATTGTTTAATACCCTCAAAGAGGGTATTAAACAATTTTTATTTATTTTTTATTTTATTTATTTATTTATTTATTTATTTTTCTCGGCGTTTCAAGGTACACTGAATCCAAAAATGTAAAAANGTAAACACTACTTTTTAATTCTGATTTCTACTGTTTTGCTGTGATTTACAAGCAAAAAAGTTTTTATTTGTTGACAGCAATTAAAGTATCAGAGCCAAATTAGTGTCTTCATTCAAGTGTCAAATTTTTGCTTTTGGTTTATGAATGAAGTCTACCTATTAGGTTTACTTTTAGGTGTTTAAGATACACTATTCGTGAAATTTAATAACTTGTATTTGTATCTCAACTTTCACTTTAAGTTTTATTATTATTAATATTTCTTTTCAGGAATAATAAAATTTATTGTTATTAAAGTAATGTTCTACTGTGATCAAAAGGTATTGGGAATGGTTCAATTAAACTGCATGCATGCAAGAGGGTGCTATATCATTTTTTTGTCATTTGGTACAATTTTCATTGATATCCAGCAACAATCTGTATATCATTCTGTTTTTGTTTGCAAATAAATGCTTGTTTTGTGTGCAAAGAATTTTTGTGCTGGGAGTTTTTCAAAATGTCAAGTGTAATTGAGCAGAGAACATGCATTAAATTTTATTTTTTTAACAGAATTACTGCCACAAAAATGTTGGAAATGTTGCAAAAAGCCTTTGGTGACAATAGTCTATCAAAAACAAGAGTTTGAGTGATACAAGATGTTCAAGGAAGGCAAAGAATGCATGTAAGATGAACTCTTAGATGCATTCTTCATGCTCTGGTAGACCATCCACTTCAACTGATGAACAACACAGTTGGTCAGATATAAACATCCCTACAAACCATCTCGTATTATTAATTTTAATATGAGATGGTGCCTATTGTCTCCTTCTTGTGTCAAATTCATTTGTAATTTAGATTTATTTATTCCAAATTATAGCCGAATAATTTACGGCAGTTGTTGGTCAGTTGGTCAGAGATTTGGTGCTCAATGATTGTCATTTAACAACTAGGGATATTATTGAACATGTTCCAGTATCATGTTAATATTCTCAAGCAATGTTAAAAGATTATATGGGCTTGTGGCTTCTTAAGCCTTCTTGAAAATGTTAAATTTTTTCCAAAAACAACTTGTTCAAGTGACCAAGGAAATGCTTTCTCAACACAAATCATTCTTAAAATGCATCATTATGAGTGATGAAATATGGATCTTTGTTTTTGACACTGAAACAGCTCAACAATCATGTGAATGGCTCTTGAAAGGTGAAGCAAGACTGAAAAGACCACACCAAAGTCAGTCAAAAATCAAGGTCATGTTGACTGTTTTCTTTGATTGTTGTGGTGTTGTGCATCATGAATTCCTTCTGACTGGCCAAACTGTCAACAAAGAATATTATTTGAGCATGTTGCATTGTTTGTGTGAAGAAATTCGTAGAAAACAACTTGATTTGTGCTGAGAAAACATGGATTTTGCATCTTTTTAATAAAACCCAAAAGCTTAATTAAAAATATAAAAAATAATAATAAAATATTATAACAGATGGCACCACATACGAAGTTTTAAATGTCGGAAAAGTTAGGTAACTCGTTGTGGGATTTATCATTATTATTATTATTATTGTTGTTGTTGTTAATTACTGTATTATTCTACATCGAATGTTTCAGAAGAAAGCCACATTTTAAACCGTTTTAACATATCAATATTAACTAAATCTTTTATTCAATAATTCATTCAGCTGAACTCAGTAAATTCACTGTTGAATTAATAGCGTTTGAAATTAATTCGGATCAGGCAACCAGAACTTCGAAAATTCGAAACAAAAATCAAAACTTAAATACTAATGATGATGTAAAATTCAAAAGCACTGTACAAAGTGATTATTTTCTCAAATTTTGAACTTTTAAAATCCTGTTTTAAGTAAATAGACAAATGCATTCTAATGGATTTAGAAAAAAGTCATATGTACAGTACTATATATCAAATATAATTTTATTGACGTAATTCCGCGCGTCGCAATCACTAAGATTTATTAGTGTTATTTACATGTATATAATTAATTGTCATTTATCGTTTACATCTTATCTGACAACCTCATTTATTGAATGATATGAGTTTTTCTAAAAAATAAAAAATGTAGTTTGATAAGAATTCGTTTCCTTTTTATTTTATGAATTATCCTATATACGATTAGGCAAATAATGAAACCGAAAGTACATTTTTACAAAAAAAGAGTAATTTTTATCTATATTTCAATAAAATTTTTTCTTTTATTTATTCATCCTCAATAATTTATGTATCGAAATTATTTTTATCAGCAAAAAATAAAAGAGCTACCTAATAAGAAATTTTACATCCTTTTCATAAAAGAAATATAACGTGAATTGTTTTCTGGATGCAAAATTTCTAATAATGAAATTACTCAAAAAAAAACATGAAAATAATATTTGATTTAAAAAAAATAATAATAAAGCGAAAATTCTTAGAGAGTTTTTCTATTTTCTACCGTAAAAAATTTCCTGTATAAAAATTCTAGTCAATCTTAAAGTACAGACAAATATTAACAACTTTCCTAATAATATTTCTTTTTAATCAATGATATTTTCAAATATAAAATTGTCCTGAATTTTTTTAAAATATGTATCGATCAAACAATCTAATATCTAAAGACTATTAAGAATTTTGAATTAACCAATTCCTATTTCTTATAATATTCGTTTCTTGAGGTTTGCTTAACTTCGGGTATTACTAAAAGGATCTCATTACGGAAAAATAATGTTTCTATCTCACTAATCAGGCAGGCGCATGACTAAATCGATAAAAATACCAGTTGCTTTTTTTTAACTTATCCATCCTATGGCAAATAAGAGGACCTTTCTAGCAAGCCCATTAGGGGTTGGTTCGGCCAGGCTCAAAATGGAGTAGCCGGACGGCTCTCCCTCGGAAAAATTTCTGGAATTTTTCGATCTGTCCTGGCTCCTCCCAGAGCGGTAGGTTACCTCTTAACTGCTCGGTCATCTGACAATCCATACCTATCTGCTAGGAGACTGGGATTTAATTCCGGCTCGGCTCAAAAATTCTGAGATGTGCTGACCAGGTTATCCCAATTGTAAACCCAACCGATGGGCATAAAAAGTCCTCTTGGTGTCTGAGAAGAGAAAGGAGTGTAAAAATCTTCGCTATTAAAACGACTCAATAATTTTACATAGATTTGTAAAATTATATGACACAACTTTACATTATTTTGATGTAAAAACATTTTTGTTATATTGTAAATCAGAAGAAATTGTGATAAATATATTTAATTAATTTATTTATATAAAATAATAATAATTTGATATATCGCTCTTAAAATGTAGGTTGCTTTTAGATGATAAACAATTTCGTTAAGGATAGAAGTCATCATGATATAGCTGTACTTCTGTAGCGCTTTTAGATGTCTGGAAAAAATTATAATCTGTATGACAGATTATAATTTTGTATAGTAATTTGACCGAGAATACTGTAAACATATTGTTTTTATTATCAGTTACTTTAAATTTGTTCATTTTGTGTTTCTTAGGGATATTTTCATATTGGTAATTATCATTATTATAATTTCTTCATTCGTTTATAATCAATGATGTAGTCTACTGAATAAAATTAGCTGTCTCAAGTTAGTTTCTATTTATCGTTTACATGTTTTGATTCTGATCATAATTAAACTAAAATATTTTTCAATTACAAACATCCATATTCTAGCTAACTAACAATAAATTATTGCATGTAAAATTATTAACATATTTTAAATTATATAAATTTATCGAAATTTAGGTCGAATTGAATCGAGAAAAGTGATGGGTCAACCGCTTCGGGACAAATCTGAGAATCACTCAGTTCTATCTCAAGCCAAATCCACAACTACAGCTAGTTTTACGGTAGCAAATGGAGAGACGATAAAATATGGATATAATTATTTACGAAGACTTTGCAGAGAGAGAGGGCTTTTATTTGAAGATCCGGATTTTCCTCCAACACCTAGAATGCTATTTGGAAAGAACAAAAAAAGTTATACGTATATATCATGGTTACGTCCCTTTGTAAGTAGACTTTACTTATTTAGTTAATTATATATATTATTGCGTTATATATATTCTCGACTTGTATAATTTATTGGATTGCAATTTGAAAAAATTGTAGACCTATAAATTCCCATTGCCGGGCGTCCGTCCGTCCGTATGTCTGTCTTTCCTTAATCTTGAGAACAGAGTTAGATGAAAGCCGAGACCAGATACGGAGAGCTCAGGGATAGGAGGTCCCGATCACCCGATTAACTGTCCGATGCCAACCGAAAGTCACGTTATTTCAATTCAAAACTTTTCCCCTGAAAGGAGTTAGCTAGATGACTGGCACGACTCGATTGCTAAACGAAAAGTATGATGTACTGTACAGTGACAATATAATACTAATTTCAGGTGGAGAGCATATATTTTAAATGAAATAAATTAAAAAATATATAATTAAAAATTCCAGCTTGGCATTGTGTCGATGTCACAATAAATAATTGCTCGTTTTATAGATGTTTGTATCATTTTAAAAAATTCATGATAATGGTCTATGGGATTCAAAATTGTGAGTTTAGTGGTCTATGAGGTCAGAAAGGTTGGTGACCGTTGACATACATGACCGGACCGGCATGACTGTTGTTATCAGGAAAAGTACAGTGACTCTACTAATTTCAGATCAAGAATATATATTTTAAATTAAATAAATTAAGAATATAATTAAACATTGCAGCCTGGCATCACAATAATTTTTGCTCGTTTGTATTAATTCGTTATTATCATAATATTTATTGATATATTTATTTATATTTTTTGTTAAATCATTTCTGCACTGCCGGCATCAAGAGGGTTTTTTAAATAATCACACTAATTATAGATTTGGTCAGAACCACAATGGGGTGGCTAGACGATGGGGGATGGGATCTGATTTATTCGGGACAGGCGGGCCCTGACAAATTGCTGAGATTTCTCAGGTTCTGACAAACTTGGATATCCTAGAGAGGCAGGCTGACGCCTTTACCATCTCGGCCATATGGCCGTCTATTATCTTTACCTGAAATTCTCTGGTTTATGAAAAATCCTATTATACAGGGTGGGAAAGAAAGTCACTTAACAGGAGTGTTAAGTGACTTTCTTTCCTAAAATATAGAATGTACCCAAAGGATGTACAGTATATTGAGCACATCATGTAGGCCTAACGTGCGTAACTCTGTAACCGTTTGAGGTAGGTCAATAAAATTTTTCAGGAATCAATACCATGTGAAATTCTGACTCTAAATGATTTTTCACATGACCCCACCTTCCCATTTAGTTTCAGAGTTGCATTCAATATGGCAGTCATCAAGATGTCGGCCGTACGCGTAACACACATCAATCTGTTTCCTCCTGAGTTCCTGAATGAGCGAATTAACTGAGTACATCGTATGTTCTGTAGCAAGGGTGTTAAGTGACTTTTTTCCTACTCAATATCTATAACTCACTGCAAAATTAGTTATGAAATCCTAAACAGAGTAGGCTACTTCACTGATAAACAAAATATTAGCATTCTCATCCATATCCGTAGATATTGTACAAGAATTTTATTATAAATAATTAAAATTTATTAAATACTTTCCCTATGGAATTAAATATACGCTCATCCCATTCGTGATTGTTATAAACGTTAAGAAAACTGAACTCGTTTGCATTTGAAATGAAACTCGTTTAATTAATAATTAGTATTTAAGGTATTTAATAAAATACGCTACTTAAGTATGGTTTACCAAAAAATAAAAAAATAGAAAAAATGGCTCAATCAGTGTAATAGGCGTCTCCATGTATCCCGCGTTTCTTTATGCAGCGCTCGAGAAGCTTTTTACAGCGAACACGCTGAAACCAAGATCCTATACCATGTATCAATATTTTTGTTTTAAGTCTACTGAAAAAGTCATCCCAAAAAATTTCCTAAAATTTCTGTTGGTCGATGAAAAATTCACATCTGGAAACTATGGGAAAATACTGGAAATTCTCAACATCGTTCTGCCTAAGGCGCTAGATTACCTAGGATATCTAGCGCCTTAGTTCTGCCTGAACTTGCCACGTGACGTCATGAAATAGCTAGATGTTGGGTGCGCGGGACTCTCATTGGACAGAAGTTCATTTTGCTTTCTTGTAGTGTGATTTGTGATTCAATTTCACGCCGAATGTCGAAACAAGCGATTAGGATTTTTATCGCCACTTTAATTAATAAAAAATCGACAAGTGGTGATTTTGACGCTATGCAGAGCACTTCTGCTGTTCAACAAGCTCAGGAAAATGAGCTACTCCCTATATAAGATGACATTCTGTTATTATGATTCATTGTGATAATTAAAACTTTATGACACTCCCATCCTCCATATATATATTATATATTTATTTATTTATTTATTTTATGAATTATGATCTATTTCAAAAAATTGTATCCACCAAGGTTGACAAGACAGAAGGGAAGCCAGGGCTTGTACAGGAATCAGCTTGAATCTACAGAATAAAATTTTAATTATACTAGAAAGCGGAAAGCAAATATTAGAAATTGATTTTAATACTAGAACATCAATTTATATAATTTCAAATGTGTAAAAGAAGAAAAAGAAATGTAATATACCAAGAGCACTTCTAGCAGTGATAACTCCACACAGCCATAAATACAGAATGTAAAATTAGCAGGGATTTACAGTTTAAAATAGCATAATGTATTAAAATTTTTTGCAGAAAGTATGATATATTTTAATAATTATTTGTCATTATATGTTATATTATTAATAATTCAATCATATTATTAAGAGATAAAATTATATGCATTGATAGACTAATTATTTATTTTCAGGAACTTTGTGGCCATCCGAAATTTATTTCTGATGGAGCATCTCGCTTTGAAATTGAACAAGGAGATTTAGGTATTTAAGAATTTTTAGCATTCTTAAAAACTTTCAGAACAATAGATACATAGTCCCATTGATTGGAATAGTATCTTGATGGATGCTTGTATCAAGATACAAATTCAGTTGACATTTAGATCTATTTTACTTGAATCAGTCCATTTTCTTACCAATCTGATATCAATAACTTAGATATACTTTAAGTAAACTCTGAGAAAACTGTTTAATGATTCTAAAATCTAAGTTAATATGGATTACTAAAGTTTTTGATAAATGAGTGAGTTGGATATGGCATAGGTTAATTTCTGTAAATGCATTCATCAACTAACAGTATCAGTAAACGCTACTTTTTAATTCTGATTTCTACTGTTTTGCTGTGATTTACAAGCAAAAAAGTTTTTATTTGTTGACAGCAATTAAAGTATCAGAGCCAAATTAGTGTCTTCATTCAAGTGTCAAATTTTTGCTTTTGGTTTATGAATGAAGGTTTACTATTAGGTTTACTTTTATGCATTTAAGATACGCTATTTGTGAAATTTAATAACTTGTATTTGTATCTCAACTTTCACTCTAAGTTTTATTATTATTAATAAATATTTCTTTTCAGGAATAATAAAATTTATTGTTATTAAAGTAATGTTCTACTGTGATCAAAAGGTATTGGGAATGGTTCAATTAAACTGCATGCATGCAAGAGGGTGCTATATCATTTTTTTGTCATTTGGTACAATTTTCATTGATATCCAGCAACAATCTGTATATCATTGTCTGTTTTTGTTTGCAAATAAATGCTTGTTTTGTGTGCAAAGAATTTTTGTGCTGGGAGTTTTTCAAAATGTCAAGTGTAATTGAGCAGAGAACATGCATTAAATTTTGTTTTTTCAACAGAATTACTGCCACAAAAATGTTGGAAATGTTGCAANCAAATGTACTACTGTGATCAAAAGGTATTGGGAATGGTTCAATTAAACTGCATGCATGCAAGAGGGTGCTATATCATTTTTTTGTCATTTGGTACAATTTTCATTGATATCCAGCAACAATCTGTATATCATTCTGTTTTTGTTTGCAAATAAATGCTTGTTTTGTGTGCAAAGAATTTTTGTGCTGGGAGTTTTTCAAAATGTCAAGTGTAATTGAGCAGAGAACATGCATTAAATTTTGTTTTTTTAACAGAATTACTGCTACAAAAATGTTGGAAATGTTGCAAAAAGCCTTTGGTGACAATAGTCTATCAAAAACAAGAGTTTGAGCGATACAAGATGTTCAAGGAAGGCAAAGAATGCATGTAAGATGAACTCTTAGATGCATTCTTCATACTCTGGTAGACCATCCACTTCAACTGATGAACAACACAGTTGGTCAGATATAAACATCCCTACAAACCATCTCGTATTATTAATTTTAATGTGAGATGGTGCCTATTGTCTTCTTCTTGTGTCAAATTCATTTGTAATTTAGATTTATTTATTCCAAATTATAGCCTGATAATTTACGGCAGTTGTTGGTCAGTTGGTCAAAGATTTGGTGCTCAATGATTGTCATTTAACAACTGGGGATATTATTGAACATGTTCCAGTATCATGTTAATTTTCTCAAGCAGTGTTAAAAGATTATTTGGGCTTGTGGCTTCTTAAGCCTTCTTGAAAATGTTGAATTTTTTTCAAAAACAACTTGTTCAAGTGACCAAGGAAATGCTTTCTCAACACAAATCATTCTTAAAATGCATCATTATGAGTGATGAAATATGGATCTTTGTTTTTGACACCGAAACAGCTCAACAATCATGTGAATGGCTCTTGAAAGGTGAAGCAAGACTGAAAAGACCACACCAAAGTCAGTCAAAAATCAAGGTCATGTTGACTGTTTTCTTTGATTGTTGTGGTGTTGAGCATCATGAATTCCTTCTGACTGGCCAAACTGTCAACAAAGAATATTATTTGAGCATGTTGCATTGTTTGTGTGAAGAAATTCGTAGAAAACAACTTGATTTGTGCTGAGAAAACATGGATTTTGCATCATGATAATGCACCTGCTCACAATGCTCATTTCCACAATGGAGCTTGTGGAACACTATTTGTTGAATTTTTGGACAAAAATTCAACAAATATTGTTCCACAAGCTCCATATTCACCAGATATGGCATCATGTGACTTTTTCTTGTTTCCTCAACTAAAATTTTTACTTTGTAGTCATCATTTTGAATTAAATAATGTCAAAAACAGAATTCATTGAAAGTCCTGAAGGGGTTTCACAAAAATGAGTTTAAAACATGTTTTGAGGATTGGAAGAACATTTGCATAAGTGCATTGCAGTGGGAGGGGATTACTTTGAAAGAGAAGAAATAAATTTTGATGAATAAATTCAAATCTTGCATTTTATTGAACCATTCTCAATGCTTGTTAATTATATGGATATTTTTCTTAATTAAATGTATTTTATNATGTGACTTTTTCTTGTTTCCTCAACTAAAATTTTTACTTTGTAGTCACTATTTTGAGTTAAATGATGTCAAAAACAGAATTCATTGAAAGTCCTGAAGGGGTTTCATGAAAATGACTTTAAAACATGTTTTGAGGATTGGAAAAACATTTGCATAAGTGCATTGCAGTGGGAGGGGATTACTTTGAAGGGGAAGAAATAAATTTTGATGAATAAATTCAAATCTTGCATTTTATTGAAACGTTCTCAATGCTTGTTAATCATATGGATATTTTTCTTAATTAAATGTATTTTATTCATTACAAAATTGTAAAATAAAAATATATTTGATACTTTTATTTTAGGTGATTGTTGGTTAGTTGCAGCTATTTCTTGTCTTACCTTAACACCAAGGTTTTTAGAACGTGTTGCTCCATCTGACCAAAATTTTGGTTCTGGTTATTGTGGAATTTTTCGATTTAGATTTTGGAGGTTTGGTGAATGGATTGAAGTCATAGTAGATGATCGTTTACCAACATTTAGAGGTCGTTTACTCTTTCTTCATTCTTCTGATCCTGAAGAATTCTGGGCAGCATTATTAGAAAAAGCTTATGCAAAGTATTAATTTATTTTATATTAAATTTCTATTAGATGGATGAGGTGTACAATTATAATATTTTATATAACATAATTTATATTTATTGCTTTTGATTAGATTTTATGGAGGATATGATAATCTTCATTATAGTCATACAGGCCAAGTGTTACAAGATTTAACAGGTGGTATTGCTCAAAGTTTTCATCTGTCAGAACATGATCCTCATGTTGTATTTCAAATGATTAGCAGTGCTGTTACAAAATCTACATTACTGGCAGCTAGTATATTGTTAGTAAGTTCTACTTGTTTCATAAATAATCAACGGAATACAAATATTTTTTAATGATTTTTTTTATTAGATAGTAATTTTATAATTTTTTTATAATTACAATTTATTATATATATCTAGCATAAATATAAATGATTATCATATATTCATGCATGTTATTCAAGGATTGTGTGTTTAAAGACAATTTGAAAGGGATGTCGATTTTGTGATAGAGTGAGTTATTTGCAGTGTACAATTTGTAAAATTTATAGAGTAAGATGATTACTTGGTTTATGTACAGTAAGCTTACAACAGTGCTTCGTTTTACTATTAGAGATGAGCACAACCAAATAGGCCATCTGCCAGAACTATATAAATAGTGTTATAGTAGCATCACTGTCATTTTAGTGATTTTATATTAATTAAAATAATAGTAATCCAGTAAACAAAATATAAAATTTAAAAAGTCAAAACTTAACTTGAGGATTTTTCATATATCTATAAAAATCTATTCAAACAAAAATTTTACACTCAAAAGAAGGATATATGATAATTCTAATATACTAGATATAATTTTTGTGTATTTAGTTATTTGTTTAGTCAGTTTAATATAAAAACATTTAAAAAATCATGTTAGATTACAAAGTAAAAGAAATTTTAAAAGTTGTTTTTTATTTTATCATTAAACATTCATATAAAAACATTTAATGATCAAACAATTGTGAAAATCATCTTAAAGTATTGTTGTATAAGCAGAGTTTAAACATAGTTTTTAAATTAATATAAACAGTTGTTTTTTAATATCTCATTTGACTAGAATAATTTAGATCAGTGCTGCTTAAACTGTGGGTTGTATCTCCCTTTGGTATTATGTAACTAAATGTGGGGTCACAAAAAACTTGACAACAGTAAAATTTTGTATTGTCTTCATGCAAAACATTAATGATTATAAAATCAAAATGTTAACACTGAAAAAACATTGAAGATGCCTTGCATCCTAAAGTATCAAATATTAGCCAAGATTTAATTCTTAATGTAAAAATAAACAGGCACATCAATCTCATTACTATGCAAATTTGCTTTTATCTTTAATAAATGGTAATAAATAGTAAAACAATATACCAAAAAACTGTTTTGGAATGAAATGTTTTATGTTTTATTATCAGTAAGTGATTTTATTTATATTTCTATTTTATATATTTATATAAAGTGGGTTGTGTAAACTTTTCTTGGATAAAGTGGATCATGAATGGAAAAAATTTAAGAAGCCCTGGTTTAGATTAAATAAATGATGATATTAATTTCCTCATTGGAAAAAAATAACTGACTAGATAATTTTTAGAATCACAAACTATACTGTGTATGTCAATTGCTGTAAATGCCATTAAAACTTAATTTGATATTTCAGAATTTTTCAAAAGATATATTTTATAAATCTGTTGAATAAATTCTGAAATATCAGAGTAATAAAAATGTAATTAAAATTTGAGTCAAATTTTTTAAAATATTGTGCATAATAAAAGTGAAAATTTAAAATTATTTTCAGACTCACACTTCTCCTATAAGACTTCGAAATGGTTTAATGACTCAACAAGCTTATAATATCACTGGTATGGCAAAGGTTTGTACTAACATTAAAATATTCAAATCATATATTTTTTTATAATTATATTAAATTTATGTTTAAGACAATAGCATAGCTAGCTTATCAGCAAATACAGTAGGTCCTTGATTTAACAGATCACAATTTAATACACTTTGGATTTAAAACTGACAAAAAATTTTTCTTCAAGGGAAAAATTTAGAACCTTTTTTTTATTTGTGAATAGAGCAAAGGTTGGGTCAATGCCTCAACATTATTAGTGGAAGCACTCTGTTACTGTAGTTACATTGTATAGTTTATGATATGTTTAATTAAAATAAACTTTGGTTCTTTTTTTAAATTTATTAAAACATTTTTAACAGATTTTTACTATCATATATAAATTACTTGAATTATAAAAATATTTTATTTGTGCTTTATACATTATATAAGCATTTTAATATATACTGTGTATTTTAAATGCATTATTAACCTTTAAACTTATAATTACATATATAATATGCCAGTTAGAAATATGTTATAATATTCTTACATCAAAATTAAAGTTCTTCTATGAGCATATTCACTCCAAAGATTGTATAATGAATGCTTAAAAATTTAACATGATATAAACAAATGAAATTAAAAAGGTTAATATGAATGTGCCAATTATTAAACAATTGATATTATCATTATATAATATGCCTTACATCCTTTCTATAGTTTTTCTTTTATATTTGATTAAAGTGTGTAACCTATTTGGTTCATTATTCTGCAGGATTTCTTGCCTGTTCTCTTCCTTTCTAAATTTAGTTGCTAAATCATACAATTCCTTATATTATTTCATTCTTTTATTTTCCAGACATGTTTTTAAAAAACTGTGTGGTTCAGCAACTAAATTTAGTAAAGAAGAGAACTGGTAAGAATTCCTGCAGAATAGTGAAACACATAGGTTACACACTTTAGTCTTTTTTTAAGAAAAAATTTATTTTATGTTTTGAAATGCATTTATTCAGTTTTTATTTTTAACAACTTTTTTAAAGTGGGTTAAAAAATTTACTTTTGAATGTCTAATATACAAATTTTAACTTTCATCAAAAGATTAATATATTTTTTAACGTTTATTTCATTTAATGGACCTTCCCCCAGTTAGTTTATTAAATTTAAGGTTTACTGAACTTCAAATAAATTAAAACAAATTAGTCGTATATTATTGCAATACAGGCATACATTGCTAATATGATTGGATAGGTTTCAGAACATCATCGTAAAATGAAAAAAATTTTTTCATATGCTAGTGCACATAAGACGCTAAAAATTTAATTACAGTAGTATTGTTTATTAAGTACACAATAGCAGTAGGCTTAAAAAATGATGTAAAAGTAAAAATAAATACAAAAACATCAAACTCCCTTAATAGCAAGGCAAATGCAAAAAATAATAAATGTAAATATAATTGAAAAGTATCTTATTAGCAAAACACTGTAAAGTGAAATACTTATATATTTTCTTAATTTGTTTATTTACCTCAAAAGAAATTTATAATTTCTTTCTTGATAAATGAGTAAAGAAATTTCTTATACAGTAGTACCTCAGGATACGAAGTTAATCCATTCTGAAACTGAGATCGTATCGTGAAAATGTGGTAAGGTGAATCATTTTTCCCCATACGATTACATTTAAAACCAAATAAGTTGTTCCAACACGAAAAAAACACTCAAATTAAAGCTAAGTAGTACATTAAAAAAAAAATAACTATAGTAAGGAAAGCACTGAAAAATGCATTTTGTAGTTGTAAATGTATAAATAACCATAATAGAATAATAATTGATTAAAAAAATGTAGTTTTACTTGCACCTTACCTTTGAGGATAGACGACAGTGGAGGTGTAAACTCGTTGGCAGAAGAAAGGGAGAAGGGAAATGATACTAAAACTTAACTTACATAACATAATGTAACAATAACTTAAAAATAATTTAGAAAAGATTAAAAAAATTAGTGTTGTTTTATATATAGTTTTTAAAATTTTTTATTCACTGCTTTTTGCTGTCTTTCCTTCACTTCCACCAGCACTTTCACTGGATAGAGATCTCTTAGTAAAACATCTATCCAAAGAGGTTTGGCTTTGCCTATTTTTAAAATGTTTTTAAAATGACTTAGGCAAATGTCGTTACTCTGAGCAGCAATACAGCCAGTGTGAATCTTTTTGGGATGTTTCTTTTCAATAAAATCAGTCACTTTCTGATAATACCTCAAGATTTCCTTTATCGAGTGAGATCCTTCCACAATGATGCAAACACTGACTGAGACCAATGAACAGAAGTAAATAAAAAATGGCGCTGCAAACTAATGTAACATCATATGGTGAGTTTTTGTTCGTATCGTGGAGCAAAAATATGTTCGAATTTCATGTCATATCCTGAAAATTTCGTATACTGGGGCGTTCGTATCCTGAGGTACCACTGTACTGTATTCTTCTTTATTTTAGCCTATGCTTATAGAATAATAATTTTATAACTATAATCATGTCAGAATAATTAGAAATGCTTATTCTGAAATTTTCTTTAATACTTAAGGCAAAAATCCAAAATTAAAAAGTTGCATGTAAATTCAGACACAGGATTTTAATTCCATTGTAGATAACATTTAAAGCATGAAATTACAAAATAAAATAAGAATAGAATAAAGTATTTATAAAATTTCCTTTTGTTTTCAAAACCTCTAAGTTTTTGAAAACAAAAAACATAATGAAATATTTTAAAATTTATTTTAATTTTCTGCATTAAAGAAAAAATGGTAGATGTTAAAACCTAATTAACTTCTTAATAAGATAAGATTTCAGTACAAAATAATGACATAAATAAAATCATTAATCAATACATAATATATATCTGGTAATAAAATTTTACAAAGTAATGTATTTTATGTAATTTCAAAAGCTTTTTTTTTTGTTTTTATAATTATGTTACAGTATTTAAATATGTATATCTTTCTAATTAATGAAAATAATTAAAAAAAACAAAAGTAAGGAATAATTGAAAAGATTAAAAATTGTTTTAGGTAAGAACTGATTTAGATGATGTAATATTAATAAGAATGAGGAATCCTTGGAACAAAAGTAAATGGAATGGCCCCTGGAGTGATAGATCCTGGGAATGGGATAGAGTTTCTGAAAGGGATCAAGAATTACTTGCTCTTCAATTACAAGATGAAGGAGAATTTTGGTATTTTAACATACATATGTATTATAAAATATAAACAACACACATATTTAATTAATCTTGTAATCAGTTATGTAAAGAAAACAATAATATTCTATGTGTAAAAATAATAACTTAATTTATAGAAGTTTGAAATCATAATTAGAAGCAAGTTCATTACTAGAGGAGTGAAAGTTGGAGTTGGTAAAAATGAACTGACTCCAGCTCTGGTTTTTTACATACTCTATATTGGTTCAGATTAAGCTCCTAATAACTTCCTAAATTGCATTATAGGAGTTCCTGTAATGCATGATCTTACTTTTATGATGAATTAAAAACAATCACAAAGCCTATAAACCAGCAATTTTTAAACAAGTGCAAATGTTTTCACACATGTTGAACAAGCTGCATCATCAGGCAAACAAATGCTGAGACAAATGGGATTGCTGAACATGTGCCACAGGGAGGTGACATATGATGTAAGATGAGAGAATGGGGATGGGGAGGAAATGAGATTTACATTTCATGGAAAGACTTCCATGCTATGAGGAAGGAGTCAACATCACGAAAATTTATACCTGTGTTATATGTGGACCTTATATATTTCCACCTGCTCTAGATGCTTGAGGAAAGATTGCCTGGATGAGTTATACTGTATAAGAGGCATGCTTTGTGAAATTCCTCTTTGATGTCTGGATTGGAGATGTTGCCAATGCCTCCAACTCAGTCTACTGACTACAGGTTTGATATTATGGATGGGCAATTATTAACCATCTGTTATTCAGATTTATTAAGGACTGCACAATTTTGGATGTTCCTGAAAATGTGATGCCCGTAATTAGTGTTGAATAAATTGTTATATTTATCATACAGGTATCCCTCATATAACATGGCAGTTTTACAACACTTTTATTCTAACAAGGTCTGAAAATTGGGGATATCCTTGTACAACATGGCTTCTGGTTTTGCTCTGTCATGGTTTTGGAAATTCTTCTTACAAAATTTCAAAACTATTAAGTGTAAACTTTGTTATTTGACATTTTTTAAATTCAAGTAAGCATATGCTGCTTCAAATTTGCCCATGGATTTTAGAATATTGAAATTTTCAATTTATTTTGTGCTTTTCATCAGCTTTAATGAGAACTGATAGTACAATATTTTTTTTTCCTTGTCCTAGCTTTCCTATCAACCAGGTGTTGTTATCATTGCTTTTAGACTTTAGTTCTTAACACTGTCATTGTGATTTGTTTTTATACATTAATCTTTGTATTTACTAAAGTTTATTTAAACGTTTTTAGATAAGTGCTTCTTAAACTTTTTTTTTATCTTGTTATTCAAACAATTTGGTATTTGAACACAAATTCTGGAAAAAGGTGCTCAGTACTCGACTAAACAAATGCACACTAGAACAAATTTTTAATTAATAACATATTTTTATTTCATCATCATTAAAAATTTTTTATGATAAAAATGAAAAATATGAAAATGTTGGTGATATTTCTGATCAAGATCAATAAAAAAGCTGAGATGATGACAATACTTTGTAAAAAGAAAATGTCCTCATTTAACTAAAATTAATATTAATGCTTAATATAGTACTTAATTGTGATTGTTAGTTAATTAATGATTGCTTTAATAAACATATTTCTCTTAGTGATGAAAGAATAGTATACTTTTGTTAATTTTTGGAACCTAACCCTATGTTTTGTATTAGTCTGTCCTTTGTTTCATATAGCATGGATTTGCAGAACATGGCACTTTATTGGGACATAACTACTGTGTTATATCAGGATACCTGTATTATTCTGTTTGTGCTTATTACTTTATTTTTCATTTATTGTATTTAACTGTTTATACTTGAACTATGGCTTTTACATTATTGGAAACATGAGAGCAATTTGCATTAATAAGGTTTTTTAAATTGATCACATTGAATTTATTTCTTATTAATTTTTATTATACTTTTACACAATTAGAATTATAATCTTATTATTTAGTATATTTAAAGTTATTATTTTTACAATTATTATTTAATTTATTTTGCTTTAATAATTTTAATTAAATTTAATCATAAATTAAAATTTATTAATTATAAATATTTTTTATGATGATTATACATTTGTTTTTAGGATGTGCTTTGAAGATTTTATTCAAAATTACACACATTTAGATTTATTACATATTGGTCCCGATGATTGGATGCAGGAAGGTACTTTACATAATCGCAAACCTTGGAGGGCAGTTTTAGCTAGACGACGTTGGCGTCGTGGTTATAATGCTGGTGGTAGTCCTGAATTTAAAGGTATTAAATTTATATTTTAATGATAATAAATACATTTGCATTAATATTTTCATGTGATTATTTGTCATAAAATATCAATATAAACTTAGATTTTAAATCTGTATTATGAAAAAGTTTAATGAAATATATTTTTTCATAATTAACTACATAATACATAATAGCTATTATGTAAATATTTTGATTTCTTTAATTATCAAAATAAACACCATTGCAATATATAATACATTTTATTATGACAGTTTTGTAGGTAACATAACAGTTTTATGTACACAAGATGAATTATAATGTATGAAATTATTTTTAAAAGATGAATCCAAATAATGGAAATAATAATATGTTAGTATATTGATGAATTTAATACATATAAGTAAATTTTGAAGATGCGTACATGATCATAACAAATCTTTAAAATTTTTAAACATTTATATTCTTTTATTGAAATATAGACTTATTAATTTTAAAATTAAATTATTCTCAAATTATGGTTTGTAAAAATATAAAACATTATTTTCTTTTGCAAATGGTAATGCTCTCATATCTCAGAAATGTCTAACAGTGCTTATTAACATAAATAAAATTTTTGAAGTTAGATCAGGAGTCACCAAAGTGATCGATATCGACTCCGCGGGTCAATATAACATTATTGAGGGGTCAATTGAAAAATTGAAACTAAAAATCACAAATATAACTACAGATATTATTATGTTTTTGAATATTGTTCAACGAATTTAATAGTACAGCTACCAGTCAACGTGTAAAATGGCTATGAATCAAGCCACACAGGACAAACAGAAATTGCTGAATCCATGCTCCGGTTCTTACTTACATAGTACTTGTCAATCATCTGCAGCATTCCTAAGTTTGTGTTTGATTCACAGTACATTGATGTTATTAGCATCTCTACAGCCATTTTTAAGCTGCTGTTCATTTAATTTTAGTATTTCGCATATATGGATAGATATAGAAGGCCTTACCCACAGGTATAGCCAAGGACAAATGGGGGAATAATGGTGAAGGAGAGGAAGGAGGGCAGGGGAAGGACAGGTGAGAAGAAAAGAATGGGAGGGATCTCCAGATGCCAGGCTGGGAACCATTTACAACCAAAAGGGGTGAGCCTAATGTTACTTAAAAAGTAGCCAATGCGTTGTGCTGGCAGAATAAACACGGACATAATAATACCATAACGAAGTACAGACACCGCATGTACATATATAGAATAGAACAAGATTACAAAATACCTGGAAGTATGAGCAGAAACAATTGAAAATTCCTAAAAAGAAAACCAGGGTAGATCCCGAACAAGTACCAAAACAGTTTTAAACCCGAGAGGAGCCACTATAAAGGAAATCGACAATACACAGCGGCTAAATGACACAGAACCCAATACTGATATGCGTGGAACCGAAGAAAGTCAATGCCTACCCAAGGGTGGCTACACTAGCTGAATATTTTAATATTGAAGATAAAGTTCTCAAAGGCCATGAAAATGTTTTTGTTGCTGATTAACAAGTCCAGAGTACATGGCCAGATGATGTTCTCCTTATACACCACGTTGATGAGATGTTTTCTTCCCTGGAGGTAATTAGGGCAGTAGAAAATGATGTGGTAACTGTCTTCTTTCTCCCTAAGAGAGCAGTACCCCTCACCTTTCTTCAAGAACTGTGCAAGGTAGGTCTTAAAGTTTCCATGTCATGTCATTATTTGAGTCAGTTCGTAAGATGGAGTGAAGTATCTGTACTTTTTCCTGTCGACCAGAACTGAAAGGAATTGGTGAGTTACCCTTCCTGTTGAACTATTACTCCACCTATGCCACCATTTGTTGAGCGTGTGGGCCCTTAGCTGGTTGGTCAAGCAGCTAAGTGGGACCTTTGTATAGGTATAACTATGTAGGTTAACCTTGGCTTTCTTAGCCAGCAGGTCCGCCTGATTGTTCCCCCAAATCCCAGAGTGCCCTTTGACTCAGAATAAGGTGATATTGAAGATCTTCTGGAGCAAATTTAGAGAATCAATAGTTTCTTTAACAATAGGGAGATTTACATTAGAGTTCTTTATCTGTAACAGCGAACCTTACTATCACTAAAGATATTTAGATGCCTTTTCTTGGGCTTGCCAAATTCCTTCCTGATATATTGGAGGGTCCTGAGGATGGCCAGGGACTTGGCGTGGTTAACTGTACAATGATTGTCCATCCTGAAATAATTCTGGTAGTGGAAGTCATTATCATTACTGCAGATGACAAAGGACCCACCGATGCCATTGTCTGTCCGGGACCCATCCATTAATTCCCAAAGGGACAGGGTAGTGGTTGTTGAGAATAAAATTATAACTGCAGATCGTAGCTGTGTGGTGTGGATTGCTATTACTGTCCCTGTCAAACCCTTTCTTAAGAATAAAATTAGTGATATTGCTGATGCCATCACCTTCACCAAGGCATTTGACATTCCTTTTGTAGTCCTCCATAGAGATGTCTTTGCCCAGAAGCCTTTTAAGGTTGTGAATTAGAAACTTTTCCTTAATATGCAGGTCAGTCGGAATGAGATCCACAATTGCAAGGAGTCCATCCATGGGGACGGTTTTATAGCTCCTGGCAATGTGGATTACTGAAAGCCTCTGCAAAGAGAGCAGCTTTTTCCAGATATGAACTTTCTTTACACAATAGCCCCAGACCTCGCAACCATAAGTTGCAATTTGCTGGGTGACTGCCTTATAGGTGATCCTCCTTGCCTTATAACAGCCCCCATTTATTCCTGCAAATAGTAGTCAGAGCATACGTGATCCTTGTTGCTTTTTTATAGATATGGTAGATGTGTTCCTTCCAGAAAAGCTTATGATCTAAAAGAACCCCCAGATACCTGATCACACTCACATTCTCAATTCTTTGTCCATTAATTTTGATGGATTAAGAGGGTTACCTTTAGGGAAGGCAATACAGTGACATTTTTTGTAATTAATTTTGAGCTTGACTCTCTCACTCCATTCATAGACTAGCATCAGGAGGTGGTTCATATTCGTTTGCAACTTCCCTTGATTCGAGTGGGACATTAAAATGATGGTATTGTCTGTGTACCCTTGAATAATGGCGTTGTTACACTGATATTCTTGTATACTCAGGAGGCTATTATACAAAATATTCCAAAGAAAAGGCTTGGACTTTGAGCCCTGCGGGCAGCCCCTATTAATGCTCCTATGGTAGTATATTTTACCATTATTTGAGATTGTCACACTCCTATCCTCCAGGTAGCTATTAATGATCTTACCTGGGCAACCAGACTTTTGAATCTGGTGCAGAATTTCTGGCCAGCAGGCATGATCAAAGCCCCTTTGAAGTCTACGGCCACCATCAAAGTGTGCTTCTTTTTACTTTTTGCTTTATTGATGTAATGAACAAGGTTATCCACTGTGCTCCTCCCCTTCCTAAAGCCAAATTGAAGCAGATGGATGAAATTGATCTAATCCAAATGAAAATTAATCCTTCCAATGACCAGAGTCCACATATATACAATAAATGTAAAAAATGTAAATTTAAAGAAATGTATTAAAATAGCAAGAGTTTTTCTTTTGCTTGTAACACAAACTTTTTGGTGAGGGTTGATGTGAGGTTTCAAAAAGTTATAGGGGGTCAACAATCAAAAAAGTTTGGCGACCCTTGAGTTAGAATATAAAAATCTTAACTAATATATTAGATATGATGGAAATTTCCTGCTAATCTGATAATAATTAAGAATCCAAATTGTTAAATGGTATAAGAAACAGTTGCCAATATGGGAGTTCAACAAACCCCATATTGGCAAACCCAAAAGTTGCCAACATCCAACAAACCCCATATTGGCAAACCCAAAAGTTGCCAAAATCCAACAAACCCAATCATAGCATATAGAAGGGGTTCTATATGCTATGATTGGGTTTGTTGAATGTTAGAAAATGTCAAGATATCTGATATTAGTTAACTTTTTTTCTTTCAACTGCATACCATAGAGACTGTCTCTTTGAAGTTAAATTTTAGTTAAAAAAAATATTAGCTATTCAGTGGCTACTTTCAAATTAGTGACATTTACATTGTGGCATTTTGCAATGGCAACTTGGAAAAAGCTTATATTCTTTGTTAACATATAGAATTATTGCTATTATTAATGTAAAGTGTAAATCAATTTATGTTTTTTAGTTTTGTGCCAAGAGGGCACTCAGCAGTGGCAGATGCCTAAGAAATAAATGTTAATCTAGAAATGTTAAAAGTATGTCTTGCTGTATCTCAATTGTTTAGTACGTTTTCAAGTCATTAACAGAGTAACCTGTTAATATAATTAAGTGTTGCCAGTGAAGAATGATAATTTATTTGATCCAAGTATTAAGTAATAGAGGCAAAAATTAGATTACAAGTATTTCTTTTTAATAACACAAAGTTTGAGTTATTGAGATTCAAGTTTCAGGACTTTACTGTAAAATAATAATGTAATTTAAAATAATGTAAGCAAATTAATAGTTTACATTGTATATTACAATGCATAAAACATATATTTCAAATGATTAATTTTCATATTTTTGTTCAAATACTGTTATAATGTTATAAAATAAATTTTTCAGATACAACATCTACAAATCCTCAGTTTCGTGTACATATTCCAGATAATGGAATTAAGAAATGTCACATGGTTGTATCTGTTATACAAAACTATCATCCTAATTATAACAATGAAAATAAAAAAAAAAATTTTGTTCCTATTGGATTTGCCATTTATGAGGTAAGTAATGCGTAAAATTTCTAAGCAATGTATTTATTTTTATAAATTTTTAATTAAATTTTTGCACTGATAAATTGGAATATTTATAATTAACATATTAATTTAAATAAAAATATTTGAGGCACCTACTACAGAATGCCTCTTTTCGAGACAAAATTAATCCTAAAAGTTTGTTAAATATTGGGATAAACAAATCTTTAAAACAACAAAAATAAACATATATAAATCATTAGTTCTAAGTGTGATAACATATGGAGCAAAAGTGTGGGTATTATATTCAAAATTTAAATCTAAATTAGAATCCACAGAAATGGATTTTTTGAGAAGATCTGCTCGATGTTCAACACTAGATAAAATAAGAAATGAGGAAATTAGGAAAAAAAATGGATTATCAAAACTCTACAGTTGATTATATCCATAACAAACAATTAACCTGGTATGACCATGTTTGGAGGATGGAAGAAGGTAGACTACCACAACAGATATTGAAATGGATTCCAGCATGCAGAAGGAGGAGAGGAAGTAACAAAAGCTATGGAGCACAAAGGACTGACAGAGGAGGATTGTCGAAACAGAACAGAATGGAGAAGAAAAGTTTTGGCACAGCAAGATGCTTAAGCATTATTAACCTGTACAATATTAATAATAAATAATAAAAAAGTTTGTTAAATATAATAAATAATAATAATCTTTATTAGCATAAAGAGAAGTGTCCCTGTTGCAGGGGGTTGTACAAAGAGGTATTATAAATTTTTACATTATTTACATAATATATAGAATATTAGTATTGAACAATTTGATAGTCACAGTAATGTATTATTATACAATAATAGTCAGATGTATAATGTTGGTAATGTTTAGTATACTGGCATAGATTTACAACATTTTTGTAATTTTAATGAAAAAGTTATACAGAATGTAGAGATCTTTTTTATTCAGAATATTCAGAGTATTTCTATAATCTTGAGATGAGTCATTTTGGAGTATTCAAGAGATGTTGAAAGCTCTTTTGTGCCAAGAGGGCACTCAACAGTGGCAGATGCCGAAGAAATAAATGTCAAAGTCTTTCAAATGTCACGTACATTTGAAAGACTTTGACATTTTTGAAATAAGTGGTCAATTGAAAAGTCATTGGTTTTGCACCATGGACAATGATTGTTTGTTAGGTCAATATAAGTATTATTAATATATAGAGAGTATTTATTTAAGCATAATTTTGCAATCAGCTTTTTCACATTAAAGTTAATTGGTTTTATCATGTAAGGTTGTGAAGAAGGTATTTGTAATATTTTTAGGTACCAAGGGTGATAGGTATTTTGGTTTAAACTGTTTTGATCCATATTTATAGAATGATTGATTGCTGATTCCATTAACATAGTATATCCAAACTTCCAGTCTTGAATATTATCTTTGAATAATAAGTCAGATATTCCAAAGGAATTTAGTATATTATTTAGTTTGGATTGCCAGAGGTGCATTGTGGTTCATTTCTTACTACATTTGATTAATTCCTGATGTAGAAAGGTAATATTACTGTCACATTTGAATTTTAAACAATAGTAAAATTTAATGATTTGTTTCAAAAACAAAGGGAAAGAGCATATATGGTTGGTTTCATGGCAAATTGTGTAACCTGAGACAGTTCTTTCCAGATGGAGTAATTTGCGGAGAAAATAAACATGGAAGGTTTCTAATTTATATATATAATCGAGACCACAGATTGGGGATGCACAATACATGATTGGATTAATTATTGAGTTATATAATTTCATATGCAATGATAAGTTGGAGGGTTTTAAATTCGAGTATAAGTTTAGTAAATTATCTATAGCAGTTTTTACTTTGTTGTTTAAGTACGAAATATGTGCCTTGAATGTATGATTCCAATCAAAAATAACACCTAGGAAATTGTTTTCATTTACCACTTGTAACAACTGTTTGTCTAGATATATCATTGATTCTTTTTTGGAGATTTTAATATATTGTGGAATATAAGTACTTTAGTTTTGGTAGGGTTTATTATTAAGTGAATTGCATTTAGTTAAGAGCTTAGGTGATTAATTTTTCTTTGTAATGCTACTTTTGTTGGAGCAAAGATTGCTAGGACATCTGCATATAACACATAATGAAAGGTCCTATTATTTAGTTCTATTCCATCAGAACAGTCTTGGAAGATTTGGTCGACTTTGAATAAATAAAAGTTGAATAGGTATGGTGAAAGAAGGTCACCTTGAAGTATTCCACATGTTAATACTAGTGATGGTGAAACGGAGTTGCCCTGCTTGATTTTGGCATTATAAGTTGAAAATAATTTAGATACTGTAGATGCGAATTGATTACCAGCTCCTTTCATTTTTAATTTATATACCAGTAGCAGAACAAAGACAGAGTCAAATGCTTTTTGAATAACTATGAATGCAACATATAGCCTACTTTCCTATGTTTTTTACTTAAATGGAGTTGTATTATGGATGATAGTAAAAAAATAGCAGGTTCTGTTCCTTTATTTTTTAAGAAGGCATATTGAAGTTGCACTTTGAGATCTATTAATTTGGTCCAGTGTTGAAATCTTGTAGCTAATAATGAGGTAAAACATTTCCTTATGGTTGATAATAATGCTATCGGTCTATAGTTATTTGGAGAAAGTTTATCACCTTTTTTATGTATCATTGTAAGGATTACTGAATTCCAAGAATCTGGGTAATTGATTGTTTTGTACATGAAATTAAAAAGGTGTAACAATTTCACTCTTGCTTGAGATGATAATATTTTTAAGAATCTGGTTGGGATAAGGTTGCTTCCTGGTGATGTGTCATTGCGAGTTTTATTTATAGTATCTTCGAGTTCTTTGATTGTAAAATTTGCATTAAGACATTTGTTATTGAAGTCACAATTAGGCATTAATGTCAGTATAACTTGAGTAACTGGAAAACATTGGTAAAATTTTTTCCATGTTTCATAACATATTATTGAGTTATTATGACATAAGTTAATTTTAAATTGATACTTTTGTACTATTGACCAAAATGTTTTACTATCATTACTATTTTTTAATATTGTTGTTTCAAGTTTTGTAAGATATTTTTTCTTTTTTGCTTTAAGTAAGTTGTTATAGGTTTTCTTGAGTTTCCTGTAGTCATTAAGATTTAAATTATTTGAATCTTCTCGAAATATTTTTAGTTTTGTTTGCTTCATCTTTTTCATCTTATAGCAATCTTTGGCAAACCATGGTTTTTTAAATTTATTTTGAATTAGTCTTTTATCATTTTTGATTTGTATGTAATCATTCATTATTTGAGTTATTTGTTTATATGTTATATCAAAATTTAGATTAGTTATTTCTGGAATATTGTTGAATCTGTCCTCGATCTCACTAGCATAATTCAACATTTTGTAAAAAATTCTAGTAAGTTTGTTACTTTCATTGTTTGCAGAATATTGTGAAGATAATAGAAATTTGGATATCGTTGGAAAATGATCTGATGCATCATGGGAAATCGTAGCAAACTCCAAACAACAATCCAGCATGTACTCGGAACTTATTATTAAATGTATAGTAGAACTGCTGTTATGCTCAACACATGTAAATTCTGCTGGGTAATCCATTTTAATGCGTCCGTTTAAAATATATAATTTGTAATCTTTTGTTAATTTTATTAAGTTTATTCCTAGTTTATTAGTAGAATTATCTTTGGATTGTCTGATATTTTGCATTTGTTGATTAGAACCATTATAATATGAATCTGTCATCTCAGCAATTCATGCATTGAAATCTCCCAGTAAAAGAGTATATGGAGTAGAATGCTGCCAAAGCTCCTGTGTTTTAAGTATTTCGTTAAGTTTTGTCAGGTAATTGGGAGGAATATAGGTGATCATTACTATTATTTGTTGATAGTCTTTATTTTCAAATATCGGTTTATTCATTGAAAGTAAAAGTAGAATATAGTTGTCAGATTTTTTGATTTGTTCTATTTTGCAAAATTGTTTTTTTATCAGGATACACAGTCCACCACTTGAACGGCAGGGTCCAGAAGGTTTAATTGCTGGAACTGTTATTGTTATATACTTATTGAAGAACATTGAATTATAAAATAAATCAGATGTAATCCAAGTTTCGGTTATATCTATTATTTCTGGATCATAATTTAGTTGAAAGTAATTTATTGATAGACGTTTATTCTTTAAGCCTTGACTATTCCAATTTAAAATTGTAGTCGGATGTATATTTTTAATAGTTTTTTCTTGATGAGGTTTATTTTGTTGTAAGTATCAACTTGATGATTCTGGTGAAGTAGAAAAAGGCTGAAAGGTATCCATGTAAACTAATTTTCCTGTGTTAAAACTAAAAGTTAATTTATTACAGTCTATTAATAGAATATCATTGTGTAGTTTAACTGATTGATTTTGTTTTCTTAATTCATAATAAATTGGCAATAAATGTTTTCTTCTTTTACGTGATTCTTTAGTAAATCTGAAGCTATCTGTACGTTTCCCCAGTCTTCCATTAATTTATGTTGCTTCTTTGATATGAAAGCATTATAAATTTGATCATGAATCTGTTTAGTACTAAGTGATAGTTTTATAATTGGTTAATTGATTTGGTTATTTGAATTATATCTAGTATATCCTCTTGAGATAAATTTTTTAGGTTTAATGTTCAATTGATGAGTTTAAGAATTTCTAATTGAGATGCTTTTTGACGAAGGATAGTTGTATATTATTATATTATTATAATAGCAGTCATTAATTAGAGTATCTATTTTATACTGTATCAGTTCTTTTTCAGATTTTAAGTTGTCAATTTGAATTTTTAGATTATCTATTAGACTTTCCATTTTTTAAAATTGAATTTTATTTTCCCATATAGTACCATGGATTAAATTCAGTTCTTCTTTTATAGATTCCATTTGTGTAGATAATTTATTATTAGAAGTATTAATTAGTTCTGATATTTCTGATATTTTATTCCATAAATCTGCTGTTAAAGTGTCATTTGAGTT